ATAAATTTAAGGGAAAAAAAAAACCACCCCTCACAAAATTGCAATCCAGACCTCAGGTTTCCAAGTCCCTTGGAGCCGGTCCAAGTTTCCCCCCCGGTCTTATTGAAAGACATCTGGGCAAGAAACAATAAATCCCATCTCATCATGGACCCCCCCCCCTGCCTATCCCAGATCGTGAAAAATTTCTTGGACCGGTTCCCCGGAATTTTATAACCATTTCAAGGCCACAGACAATGGTATCCATCGCATCTGTTTTCAGACACCACGTGAGGTTCACGATGGATCATGTTCAGCGAGGCAAGCCGTCCAACCGCTAGGTAACGCGTGTTGTTGTTCACGTACGTTTTGTTAAAGTAAAAAAAAAGAAGATATATACATACGCGCGTGTGCAGTAGACACATGCTTCAGGGTTTATAAAAATATATTTATACATATTTGTTTTACCACCCATCAGATGTTCATTTGAGCAGGCAACTTACATTGACTCTGGCTGGAATAAACTTGGCACTTTGCCATGAGACATTGGACCCTAAACCGTGGCCCATACCCCATGGCTTCTCGATTCAGGACTCCAGGTTGAGGACCCCCAGACCCTGGACCCCAGATCCTGGATCCCAGACCCCAGACCCGTGTGGGCTCAGCGATGGGGGCTCGTTGGGGATCAATATTCCCACCATGCAATGGTAGCTAGGATATGTTAACTACCTCGCCTGGTATACAGGAGGTCGTGGGTTCGATCTCGACCCTGACGCCTGCTGTATATTTGAACTTTGCGTGTCTCTCTCTCTCATCATCATCACGGTGGCTCGGAGATGTTAACTACCACGCCTGGTATGGAGGAGGTTGTGGGTTCGATCCCGACCCTGATGCCTCCTGCTGTATATTTGGAGTTTGCGTGTCTCTCTCTCTCATCATCATCACGGTAGCTAGGATATGTTAACTACCACGCCTGGTATGGAGGAGGTTGTGGGTTCGATCCCGACCCTGACGCCTGCTGCTGTATATTTGGAGTTTGCATGTCTCTCTCTCTCTCATCATCACGGTAGCTGGGAGATGTTAACTACCTCGCCTGGTATGAAGGTCGTGGGTTCGATCCCGACCCTGACGCCTGCTGTATATTTTGAGTTTGCGTATCTCTCTCTCTCACCATTATTACGGTGGCTAGGAGATGTTAACTACCTCGCCTGGTATACAGGAGGTCGTGGGTTCGATCCCGACCCTGATGCCTGCTGCTGTATATTTGGAGTTTGCGTGTCTCTCTCTCTCATCATCATCATCACGGTAGCTAGGAGATGTTAACTACCTCGCCTGGTATGCAGGAGGTCGTGGGTTCGATCCCGATCCTGACGCCTGCTGCTGTATATTTGGAGTTTGCGTGTCTCTCTCTCTCATCATCATCACGGTAGCTAGGAGATGTTAACTACCTCGCCTGATATGCAGGAGGTCGTGGGTTCGATCCCGATCCTGACGCCTGCTGCTGTATATTTGGAGTTTGCGTGTCTCTCTCTCTCATCATCATCACGGTGGCTAGGAGATGTTAACTACCTCGCCTGGTGTGCAGGAGGTCGTGGGTTCGATCCCGACCCTGACGCCTGCTGTATATTTGGAGTCTGCGTGTCTCTCTCTCTCTCATCATCATCACGGTGGCTAGGAGATGTTAACTACCTCGCCTGGTATGCAGGAGGTCGTGGATTTTTCTGCGGATGCTCCCGGGTTGTTCCCTCCACGTTTAGAATCAACATCACGCTTTTCGAGTATGTGGCTGCTGCTTGTATATTTCCACATGATGATGATAATAAGCTACTTGGTCGAGCTATTGCTAATGATAGCCAGGTCGCGTCTGCACATCGTAGCTCAGTCGGCCTTACCCGATAAAATGAAACAAATGGTTTACATCTTCTTGGTTCTTTCGGTAAAGTCACGTAGAAGGGAAAAACTAATAATAATAAAATAATTCTCACGACGTTTCGGCCACAACGCAAGCAGCCGTCCTCAGGTGAAGAACAGGTCTGTCGGAAAGCCCATTCAGACGCTGTCTTTCCGACAGACCTGTTCTTCACCTGAGGACGGCTGCTTGCGTTGTGGCCGAAACGTCGTGAGAATTATTTTATTATGTTTTATTTTTATTATTTCCCTTCTACGTGACTTTACCGAAAGAACCAAGGAGATGAATCCCTGCAGTCACGAAAGCTTTGAAAATTATTTTATTGTTTTATTTTTATTATTTTATTATTTCCCTTCTACGTGACTTTACCGAAAGAACCAAGAAGATGAATCCCTGCAGTCACGAAAGCTTTAAATCGAAAAATGGTTTACAGTAAATGGTTTAAATGGCTCATTCACAAAGGCCCGGCCCAACCCAGCTGCTGGAGTAAAATGAGAGCGGCAACTCTGTTTAACATTCATGCGGCAGCGCTGGGAGGATTCTGTGTTCCGTCGGGGGGTTGCGCGCGCATTACTCACTCGCAATGTTGCACTTATGACTCCCAGAATTGATCACGGAAACATTGTGTGTGCGCGCGTGGTTTTTATATATTTTTTTACGTGACCTGACGTTCTCCGACAGAATTCAAGAAGTCAAAATCAGGCGTCGTTCGACCACTCAAATGAGGATCGATGCGGGCCCCCCACCCCCCCCCCCCGTCTCCCGTGCACGGCCACTGAACCAGTGGTTTGTGGACATTCCACGTTTTCAGTCTAATCCATAGGACGACCACAGAGAAGTACTAATTTTATCCACCCCGGAAGGGATGGTTGTGATTGTCTGAGTCAACCAGGGTTTGCGCTCACAAGCGTTGCGATTGCGAGCCATTCTCTCTGTCGCTGCTTGGATCGTTGAGGGCCAGAGGTCGCAACCAGGTACCCGATACCCGTACCCTACCCGATACCCGGCTACCCGTACCCGGCCGAGAGTTACCCCCTCGCTCGCGCAAGCCGTGGGTTATCTCGCACTTCACCTGGTGTGCAAATGTATATTGCTATTTTATTTCCTTGGCTATACTTTGCACTATGTTTTTGTAAATTTCCATATCAATCATTGTACCCCACACCCATAGACTCAACACTGTCCAAGAGACTCAACACTAAACATAGACTCAATACTGCCCAGAGACTCAACACTGCCCATAGACTCAAAACTATCCATAGATTTCGATTTAAAGCTTTCGTGACTGCAGGGATTCATCTTCTTGGTTCTTTCGGTAAAGTCACTTAGAAGGGAAATAATAAAATAATAAAAATAAAACATAATAAAATAATTCTCACGACGTTTCGGCCACAACGCAAGCAGCCGTCCTCAGAACAGGTCTGTCGGAAAGACCGCGTCTGAATGGGCTGTCTTTCCGACAGACCTGTTTTTCACCTGAGGACGGCTGCTTGCGTTGTGGCCGAAACGTCGTGATAATTATTTTATTATGTTTTATTTTTATTATTTTATTACTTCCCTTCTACGTGACTTTACCGAAAGAACCAAGAAGATGACTACCCATAGACTCAACACTGCCCATAGACTCAACACTACCCATAGACTCAACACTGCCCATAGACTCAACACTGCCCATAGACTCAACACTACCCATAGACTCAACACTACCCATAGACTCAACACTACCCATAGACTCAACACTACCCATAGACTCAACACTGCCCATAGACTCAACACTACCCATAGACTCAACACTGCCCATAGACTCAACACTACCCATAGACTCAACACTGCCCATAGACTCAACACTGCCCATAGACTCAACACTGCCCATAGACTCAACACTACCCATAGACTCAACACTACCCATAGACTCAACACTACTCATAGACTCAACACTACCCATAGACTCAACACTGCACCATAGACTCAACACTGCACCATAGACTCAACACTACCCATAGACTCAACACTGCCCATAGACTCAACACTGCCCATAGACTCAACACTGCACCATAGACTCAACACTGAACCATAGACTCAACACTGCCCATAGACTCAACACTACCCATAGACTCAACACTGTCCATAGACTCAACACTGTCCATAGACTCAACACTACCCATAGACTCAACACTGCCCATAGACTCAACACTGCACCATAGACTCAACACTGCCCATAGACTCAACACTGCACCATAGACTCAACACTGCACCATAGACTCAACACTGCCCATAGACTCAACACTACCCATAGACTCAACACTGCCCATAGACTCAACACTGCCCATAGACTCAACACTGCACCATAGACTCAACACTGCCCATAGACTCAGCACTGCCCATAGACTCAACACTACCCATAGACTCAACACTACCCATAGACTCAACACTGCCCATAGACTCAACACTGCCCATAGACTCAACACTGCACCATAGACTCAACACTGCCCATAGACTCAGCACTGCCCATAGACTCAACACTACCCATAGACTCAACACTACCCATAGACTCAACACTGCCCATAGACTCAACACTACTCATAGACTCAACACTGCCCATAGACTCAACACTGCCCATAGACTCAACACTACCCATAGACTCAACACTGCCCATAGACTCAACACTACCCATAGACTCAACACTACCCATAGACTCAACACTGCCCCATAGACTCAACACTGCCCCATAGACTCAACACTGCCCATAGACTCAACACTGCCCATAGACTCAACACTACCCATAGACTCAACACTACCCATAGACTGCACCTCCGATTAGCACGGTTGGCTGTGTACGGTGTGAAAGAAGTTCATCGTACCTACATACGTATGGTCGACAGTTTTGGGTTGCATGGCCACGATCGCAACTGCCTACTACCACCGCCACCATGACACCCGTCGCTCATTTCCCATCCGTGAGCGAGGTGTGTGCGAAGCGGCCTGCTGATGATCCGATGTGTTTGATGGTCCCACCCGGCGTCTCTCTCTCTGTCGACGACGAGGAGGTGGAGGTGCGACGTTCAGGCCAAGCGAGTGGACGACGAAGATTTAAAACGCAACCGCATCTCTTCCGTTACGTACGTGCACATTTTATTCCAAGACGAAAACAACAAACAACAACAAGATGGGCACGTGTAACAGGGACGAGGCGGCAGTAACGGACGACCAAGGTTGGGTTCGTTCGTTGGTTTGAGAAGAGCGGCACCGTCGTCAAAAGACTCGCAGCCGTCACCGACAACGAGAGAGACGCAGAACGCACGTGACCTCGCGCACGTGACCTCACGCTCCCACGGTTACAACAGCGTCCTCCCGACCACGCACGACGGTGGAGCCCCCACAAGATCGTTCGCTCTGCCGCCAACGTTCAGCCAAAGCGAACGCGGGTCCTGTACGTTGACTTCGTTCAAACGGCCGCACTTCGTGGGGATGCTGAGGCAGGCAACACGCGAAAGGCACAAAAGATGAGGAGCGGTGACACGGAGGAGCTGAAAAGCCGCGAGGATGCTCCGAATGGCGCTGGCGAACCACCACGTGAATCGGTTCCATGCCGCCTGTAGCCTGCGCAAAATTTCGCTCCCCGGCCAGCACCAAACACTTCCAAGGCCAGATTTTCATCATCCTCATCATTGATGGCAAGGGAGAACTTGGGAGGTTTTCGCCAGCCGAAGACTAAAAAAAACCAAACCCCAGCGCAGGATATTCGGCAAAGCGCGAATCGGGCTCCTAAATCTGCACGGCTAATTCGTGCTGTGGAAGGCTGCTGCCTGGCAGTAGGAGACGTGAGGTGAGCCCCAGAGGCAAGCAGAGCTGGCAATAATAAGAAATCAGCAGCAACAGCAGCAGCAGTGGCAGCCCGAGAAATAAATTCCCATAAACAATTTTCCTCTAAATGCACTTTTTTTCTCGGTTCTCACAGCAATGCGTTTACACCGTTTGGGAAGATCAAAAGGTGGGATGATAAAAGCGTAACGAACTCAGGGGTTTGGGTAGGCTGAGCGATGTTGTATCTTCTTCCCTCCCCGCATTGTCCTCCAAGAACAGAAATGTTCAAATAAACGAATCGACCGCCATCAGTTATATACAACTGAGCCAAGCGCGTCCGTCCGCGGGAGAGAACCCCGTGACGTTCCTAACATACACATATATAGACATGCCTTATATATCTATCGCTAAAGAGTGAGGCTTCTCAATAAAAAAACAACAAACAACGCACAATATATCGAGTCGAGAAGTGGAGCACCAAATAAAGTGGCAACACTTTCTTGCAATTTCCCCCACCGAGCGTCGTGACTTACGTCCAGCCGACGTTGAGACCTTCACGGAGAAGGATGCCCGCCGAACGCGGGCATCCTTCCGCGGGTCACAAACGCGGGCCCCCCAACTCGCGGCAAACAAAAATCACCCCTCGGGCCCCCCCCACCACCCGCCCCGTCCCGCACCCCCACCCCGGACGTACAACCACGGTTGGGTTTGGTTGGTCAGTTTCTTTCGGGGCAAATTATTTATCCGAACAATTTCGATGCGGAATTTGTAATTGGGGCGGTGGCAGGAGGGGGGGCGGGGAAATATCCACGGGGCTGCGGGGTTAGGGGCCGAGGCAGGATGTTTGTCCTTGGCTGGCGAGGCTACGTGGACAGAGAATGGGTCCCGCAGTGCCCCTACGATGCTTTATGCCGCTCCTTCGGCACAGCGCCATAAACCCCTTGTCCAGCACACCTTGAAACAAACAAACAAGAGGGCCGTAAATAAAAAAAAGAAGAAATCGATGCGGGGGTAGTCCCTAAGCTACTCCAGCGCCGCTCATTTGCATTCCGGTGTGGTGCACTCTTGCTGCCGTGTAAAGTTAATCATCGGGAGCGGGGGAGAGAGAGCGAGAGAGCGTTGAATGGGGAGAATTCAAAGAGAGTGTTGCCCAAAAGCTTTCAGAAAGGTAATGGCATCATCGGTCTTGTAGTTTTCTTCTTGCTGGCTTTGGATTAAGGCTGTCTCCTGGGCTTGGCTTTGACGACCTTGGTAACAGGCTTCCTGGTATCCACATTCCTGCGGAGACACAGAGAACACGTGGAGATGGTTCGCACGACACAGCGCTGTCTTGCGCGTTCACGTTTGACGAATCTATTCGAATTCCCATCGCGTCGACGTACGATCCCTCCGCTGACGTCTCTAGGGTACCGCGGTGGGTCGGAGATGTTAGCTCCCTCGCCCGATACGCAGGAGGTCGTGGGTTCTATCCCAACCCCGAGGCCTGCTGTGTGCTTGGGGTTTGCACATCCCTCTCCCCGTGGTCGCGTGGATTTTTTTCTTCGGGGTTCTCCGTTTCCTCCTCCCCCCCCCCAACATTTAGAATCGACGTCACGTGTTTGTCCGCTGGACATTGCACGTGATGATGATGAAGCCGCTTAATTCGGCTAGGATTTGTGACGGCCGGGTCGCTTCTGAAAAAGTATAACCCGTAAAAACAAAGTTTTTCACTCTAAATCCTTTATATCCGTGGCGGCTAGAGTCCTCTCGTCCTCTGGCTTGAGATGGCTGCCACCTATGGGTCATATGATTGTCTGCCAGTATTAAACAATTGGTAATTTAATATTTAATTTGTTTTCCCTAAGCAGTGTAAAATTTAGAAAAAAAATTTTCACGAACATTAATTGTCACGCACAACGAGTCTGTGTGCAAAATGTCAGCTCGATTGGATCACGGGAAGTGGGTTAAAAAACGACCGAAAGATTTGCACGGTCGTAAGCAAGCAAGCAAGCGAACTTAATATAAAGGATTTAAAAAGAGCTACGTCGCTCAGTGGGGCCTCGCCTGGTGAAATAAAAAAAAATTAATCGTTTCACTCAGTTCAATTTCGGACAAAAAATTATGTCTCCCATCCAGCACGTGGAACGAAACGTCGGCACACCGTGCCCGAAGACACGCCGGGGGCGCCACGCAACACGACAATCTACGCCGTGGCAATGCGAGCCGACATCCATGCTAAAGCCGCCGCTGCACGGACGGCAACAACAGCAGCCACCAATCGCCACTAACGGTATTCTTAGGTTTTTTCAGTAAAGTCACGTAGGTAAAAAATAAAAATTAATAAAAGTAAAATAAAAATTAAATAAAAATCACGACGTTTCGGAAGCAACACAAGCTTCTGTATTCTTAGGTTTTTTCGGTAAAGTCACGTAGGTAAAAAATTTAAATTAATAAAAGTAAAATAAAAATTAAATAAAAATCACGACGTTTCGGAGGCAACGCAAGCTTCCGTATTCTTAGGTTTTTTCGGTAAAGTCACGTAGGTAAAAAATTAAAATTTCTAAAAGTAAAATAAAATAAAAAATAACGACGTTTCGGAAGCAACACAAGCTTCCGTCTTCAGGTGGATAGCTGTATCAAGTGACAATTAATGTTCGTGAAAAAAAGTGATACAGCTATCGTGCTGTGACTGTTCCACCTGAAGACGGAAGCTTGTGTTGCTTCCGAAACGTCGTGATTTTTTATTTTATTTTTATTTTACTTTTATTAATTTTAATTGTTTACCTACGTGACTTTACCGAAAAAACCTAAGAATATGAATCCTTGCAGTCACGAAAGCTTCAAATCTAGAATTAATACGCCACTAACGGTGTCTGTGCCAGGCTAGGTGCACGTTGAGGCCGTGTGAGGTGTCGAACGCCCACTGGCAGGAGGTCACGGGACAGACCCAGGTGCCATGGGGTGACTGCGTTTTAGCCACCCGGCGCTCCGCTCATTGTTGTGAGCGTCGCTCCTCTGCCCTCCGTTGTTGCTGGAGGGCGATTGCCTCTAACTGCCCAGTAGCGTCCTTCACGAGCCTCCTCCATAGAGGCCGATCTTGACACCGCTGGTACCAGTCATCGGCAAGTCCACTCAGCTCCACATCCTCCAATACCACATCACTCCATCTCTTCTCCAGCCTGTGCCGCGCCCGTTAAGCCCCCTTGATCCTGCCAAACAGAAGCTCTTTGGCCATGTGGTGGCTGGGCATGCGGGCTACATGACCCAGCCAACGAACGGCAAGCGTGCCATCAAGACAAAGACAAAGACCCCCCCATATAGCCTAAACAGACTGTAGGGGCAAGTGCTGTTAGCGAGCACCTACGAAGGCCGGCACGGCACACGAGGGGGTGGGTGGCCAGCACCACACCCGCCTTTGTCTCCGCAGCGGCGATGTTTACACACCGCACCCAGGTACTCGTTTGAGGCTGAGTCGACCTAGGGGTGGCCCAGGACTACCGCACACACGCTGCCCGGTTTCCCACCTCTTGTTGTTCTTCTTGGGTTTCTTGGCCTTGGGCGGTTTGCGTGCTGCCGGGGGCTTCTTCCGGCTCCCGATGGTTTCTGCGCGTCGGCCGCACCGAGAGGGGGGCAGAGAGAGACAGAGAGAGGTGTGGGGGTGGAGAGGGGGGTAATGATGAGCATCGTGGACTACGGTCGCCCCGTACCCCCCCCCCCCCGCAAGCGACATTTACCTTCACCACGTGGCTAACGCCGCGTGCTCGAGCCCATGTTGGGTGTCAACGAAGAGTGCGATTCTGATATAAATGTGCCCGGGAGTTCGTGTGCGTGTGTGTCTGTGTGTCACTGTGCGTGTGTGTGTGGGGAGCGGTGGTGTAGGGGTTAGCGCTACGCTGCGCTACGAACCCGGCGACCCGGGTTCGATTCCCGCTCACAGCCAACACCCGGTGACGATTATTTGAACCGGTCTCGGGACTCCCCTAGGTCGACTCGGCCTCAAATGAGTACCCGGTGCGGTGTGTAGTAAACATCGCTCACTAGGGAGACAAAGGCGGTCGGGCGTGGTGCTGGCCACCCACCCACTCGTGCGCCGTGCCAGCCTTCATAGGTGCTCGCTAACAGCACTTGCCCCAACAACCTTTTCAGGCTACACGGGGGATCTCTGAGCACCTGTGAAGGCCGGCACGGCACGCGAGGGGGTGGGTGGCCAGCACCACGCCCGGCCGCCTTTGTCTCCCCAGTCACGATATTTACACACCGCACCAGGTACTCATTTGAGGCCGAGGCGACCTAGGGGAGGGCCCTAGGACCAGTTCAGATAATCGTCACCGGCGTTCGCCGTGAGCGGGAATCGAACTCGGGTCGCCGGGTTCGTAACGCAGCGTAGCGCTAACCGCTACACTGCACAACGACCCTGATTTAAAACACCATTCAGCGACTGCACAAGCCGCAATGTGACATGATACACGACATAGTGCATCATTGTATCATGCGACACACCACGTAGTGTGCCACGTGATCCACTATGTAGTGCATAATGCGCGCCATGCAGTGTATAGCGTGACAAAACCCTCCCCTGGCACCGGTTGGTCACGAGCATTGCGCGGGCCTTTTTTGAAAAGCCGGGACCCAGCGTGGCGGTTCCCGCATCGAACGTCGAGTAATCACATCGGCGTCGCAACTCTCCCCGCATCAACGCTCATTCTCTCCCCCCAAAGCAGACGCACACACGCACAAAAATACGTCTTCTAGAAACCAATTCCCAGTGAAACAGGAAGACGACGCCGGATGATGGCATTTGCCCGCTTTCATCGTCATAAGTGGCCCGAACGCTCATGACAGGGATAATATTGAGCGTTCTTAATTTTGGAGCTTTCGGGACTGCAGGAATTATTCTTTGGTTCTTTCGGTAAAGTCACGTATGAAGATAAAATAATAAATTAAATAATAGCATACTACGACGTTTCGATTGCAACACAAGCAATCATCATCAGGTATAAATGAAATAGCGACAAAAACTCTAACCAGAAAACTATAGACAGACATATAAGCAGACAGACATCACCAAGATACATAGAGAGAGAGAGTAACACAGGTACAGAGAGGGAGATCGTCTCTGTGGGGTGGCCTTAAATAACCCCACCTCTTGCTATTTCATTTATACCTGATGATGATTGCTTGTGTTGCAATCGAAACGTCGTAGTATGCTATTACTTAATTTATTACTTTATCTTTATACGTCACTTTACCGAAAGAACCAAAGAATAATATTGAGCGTCTCGAAAATAAGCGCAGTGCGTCGCTGGACCAATCCGTGTTGCCGATATCCCCTCCTAACCCCCCCACCCTCCACCCCGGGTGCGTGGGGTTTTCTGGGTCCATTGGTGTCTTGCCAAATGCCAAAAACATTAAATTGAGGCCGAGTTGACGGTGGAGAGGAAGGCCCATGGACCGGTTCAGATGATAATCGTCGCCGGGCGTCGAGTGACACGTGACACACGATGTCATGTTAAATTTCGATTTAAAGCTTTCGTGACTGCAGGGATTCATCTTCTTGGTTCTTTCGGTAAAGTCATCACGTAGAAGGGAAGTAATAAAATAATAAAAATAAAACATAATACAGACAGAGTCTTATCGACAGACATGTTCTTCAAGACTCTGTCTTATCGACAGACCTGTTCTTCACCTGAGGACGGCTGCTTGCGTTGTGGCCGAAACGTCGTGAGAATTATTTTATTATGTTTTATTTTTATTATTTTATTATTTCCCTTCTACGTGACTTTACCGAAAGAACCAAGAAGACGATGTCATGTGTCACGTGATCCGCTGTGTAGTGTATCATGTACGCCACATAGTGCGTTGTCACTGTATCAGGAAGTGCTTTTTTGCATCGGCAACCCGCTCACGGCCCACACCGGCGGTGATTATTATCTGAACCGGTTCCTGGGACTTCCCCTAGGTCGACTCGGCCTTAATTGAGTACCCAGTGGGATGTGAAAAAAACATCGCTTCTTGGGAGACAAAGGCGGCCGGGCATGCGGTGCCCGCCACCTCACCCCCATTTCGTGTGCCGTTTTAGCCTTCATTGTTTGCAATTTCGCAATCAGCACTTGCCCCGACAGTCTGTTAAGGCTACACGGGGAGATCTTTGTCTTTTATGCGCGCGCGCGTGTGCGTGATCGGGGGTTTTCTGGGTCCATGGGGGTCTCTTCCCCAAGACGCAAAATTACTCGAGAAGGAATGTGGAAGGGAAAGAAAAACTAAAATAACGATCCCCAATTCACAACCCCTTCCTGGAACAGCGTCCCGCGAATCAGCGAGACCTTCCTGAGTAACCAGGAGGCGTCCTTGTTGTTGTTGTTATTGTTGTTGTTATTGTTGTTGTTATTGTTGTTGTTGTTATTGTTGTTGTTATTCATGTGGATGTCAATGCAGCACGGGCGTCATCTCAGCATTCTCAAGATTAATATAAAAAAAGGACGCGTCATGTGGCTTACGTTTAAACGGCTTCAAGGACCGTAAATTCTGTCGAGTTGCGCCACCACCGCCGTTTTTAGATCGTGAGCAGATGCGCGGAGGAGCTATTGATATGAAGCAGAAGGGGGACTTTCTCTCACCGCGTCGCGAAAACAACTCACGGGTTCTCTCCTCCACCCCTCTGGACTCTCCACGTGCCGTGCAGAAGGCATCGCCCGAAACGTCGCCTATTGCGTGACGAGCTTCGTTATTTTTGTCATTTGCACCTCACGGGTCGTCCATGAACGGCATCTCCAGTCGAGGGCTTTGTCCCCAGGAGGGTTTACTTGGCATGCTGGCAAGCAGAGGACTGGATTTTGCTCCGGGGTCCTCCGTTTGTTTTTTTCACCTCCACATTTCGAATGAACGTCACACGTATGTGTTTTTTAGGAGTATTCGGCTGCCCTCAAATTACCACGTGTCGATGATAAGCCACTGCTCTGAGCTATCATTTGTGGCCAGGTCGCTTCTGAAAAATAATTCCAATGGAAGGGTAGCATGTTTTTTTTTTTTTATTCGTGGGTAGTAAGTGTTATTTTCTAATTGCTGAAACCTCAAAAGTACAGAAAGTGGCTATTATTCCCCACAAACTTTGCTTTTGTGACCAGGACAGTGATATTTAGAAATGTACCTATTTTAAATGAGAAAACGGGCGAATTTGTGTCTTTTCGTTCACATAAAGTCAGAAAAATACAACATATGAATAAAAATGTACATGTATTTCTGCTAAAGTAATACAAAAATGACTACAAAAGATTTAGACACCAAGGCGCACTACCACAGGCGGGACTGGCCACAGCAGACCGAGGTCTCTGTGGGGAGGAACCACGTCAAGTGGGAGCCACTGGTGGACCCCCGGAAGGTGCTGATGCCACCACTGCACATCAAATTGGGCCTTAGGAAACAATTTGTCAGAGCTGTAGATAAGGAGTCGGCAGCCTTCAAGTAGCTTCAAGACTTCTTCCCTAAGCTGTCTGAGGCAAGGGTAAAAGCCGGTGTCTTCGTCGGACCACAGATAAAGAAGATCCTGGAGTGCAATGAATTCCCCAAGAAGCTCACTAGTAAGGAGAAATCGGCTTGGAACAGCTTTGTCGCAGTGGTTCGTGGCTTCCTGGGCAATCACAAGGTCAAAAACTATGTGGAGCTGAATTTCGATTTAAAGCTTTCGTGACTGCAGGGATTCATCTTCTTGGTTCTTTCGGTAAAGTCACGTAGAAGGGAAATAATAAAATAATAAAAATAAGACATAATAAAATAATTATATTTAAAGCTTTCGTGACTGCAGGGATTCATCTTCTTGGTTCTTTCGGTAAAGTCACGTAGAAGGGAAATAATAAAATAATAAAAATAAAACATAATAAAATACAATTCTCACGACGTTTCGGCCACAACGCAAGCAGCCGTCCTCAGGTGAAGAACAGGTCTGTCGGAAAGACAGCGTCTAATTCAGACGCTGTCTTTCCGACAGACCTGTTCTTCTGAATGAGACGCTGTCTTTCCGACAGACCTGTTCTTCACCTGAGGACGGCTGCTTGCGTTGTGGCCGAAACGTCGTGAGAATTGTATTTTATTATGTTTTATTTTAATTATTTTATTATTTCCATTCTACGTGACTTTACCTATGTGGAGCTGGTTGAGACTGGTGAAGAACTACGGCACAATGGGCTGTAGGATGTCCCTCAAAGTCCATATCCTTGATGCTCATCTTGATAAATAACAATTTAATGTTGCTCTTTACTTTCAAGGCCTTAAAGGGCTTGACTCCTTACTACTTAATTGTATATGTATGCATGTTGAACTTCTTTCACACCGTACGTAGCCAACCGTGCTAATTGGAGTTGGGCGTGGAAGGGACAAGAGCACTAAACACAAAAAGCAGTCCGAAAGAAATTACTTTGCTAATCTAGACGATTCAAAAGTGCATAGCTCTCAGTGGCCTCCGAATAACGGAAGAGCATTCCAGACGGCCGCGTAAGCGCATCTGAAAGCACGTGACGCAGAGGTCGCAAACGGGTTTTGATTCCTTACCCGTACCCGTACCCGGCCGCACCAGGGTCACAAATGGGTACCTGGCTACCCGTACCCAG